GAGGGGAGGGGAGCTCGGAGCCCCCGTGGGAGAGGAGTCAGGGGCCCAGGCTTTACCCGATGAGGTGGGAAGTGGCTGAGGGCCAGAAGCCATGACAAGCCCCGGGCTGGCTGGGCTCCAGGCTGGGGTGGACAGAGGGGCAGGGGTGCAGGAAGGCAGTGAGGGGCTCCTTCAGCAGGTGAGGGCCCGGGGGAGGGAGAGATGGACTTGGGGGTGTGGAGAGAGTCCAGGCTCAGAGGCTGCTGGACATGAGGGAGCAAGGGGCTGGGGGTGACCCGGGGGAGGAAAGGAGCGGGATGGGGGTGGCTCTGTGCAGTGCAGCGGACTCAGGGGCACAGGGCTGGGCAGAGCCTGTGCGGCCTGCTACCTAGGACTGGCCGTGTGCCCTCCTTGGAACCTCCCACTCCCTGGGCACAGCCTGGAGCACCGCGCGTGGCCACAAGTGAGACGGAAATTCAAGACCCAGCAGGTGACCGGGCCACCCAGGGTTGCCAGGGCACAAGAGCTGAGCTGAGGCGGAAGGGGACCAGGGGCTGACCTGTGAGGGGTGTGTCCAGTGGGGATGCATCAGAGACAGTGTGACAGCTGTGATGTGCACCCCAGGGCAGGGAGGCCGCTGGCCGTGGCCCCGGCCAGCGAACAGGCCACACCCAGGAACAGGCTGGCAGAGAAGTGATGGGAGGGTGAGGGTCCAGACCCGCCTCCGGGCTGGGACAGCACCAGGACCTCAGTCCTGGGCCGGCAGAGGTAGCAGGAGGCAGAGTCAGGCCCCCCGGCCGCACGGGGCACCGGACGGCGCACTCACCGCGGTGCCGTTGTTGTCCCGGAACACCTCCTGGTTCACGTAGTCGAAGAGCTTCTTCTCCAGCTGGAGTGTCACCTGCCGGGCGAGGTAATCTGTATCTCTTTGAGACTTTTCACAGACACCCCACCCCGGTGCGGCCCTAACCACCGCCGTGGGCGCTCACCTTCCGGTCATTGTCTGACTCGCGGAATATCAGCTTCACGACCTCATTGGTGTCAGCGGCCCGGACTGTCTGCATCGTGGCCTTCGTGCAGAGGGTCTGGGAAGGACAAGGAAGGAACTCAGTCTGACTAAGACCTTAGGGGTCTCCGCCCGGCAGCCCACAGCCGTGTCACTGTGAAGCAAATGTTCCCACCCATCTCCCCGACCCCGCCCTTTCCAGGCAGACCCCTACTGCTCCACCTGGGTCTCAGGACTTCAAGGGACATCAAGGGATGTCAAGGGACACCGAGGGAGAAGGAGGCTCTGGGAGCACAAATCCGCCCGCACAGAAGTGGGAGCGTGACCAGCAGCGCTGCTGGCCCCCCTGCCCACCAGGCGACCCGGGAAGGTCTGCGAGGGCTTTGCCGAGAACAGGCTGGTGACTCCTCCGCAGCCCAGGGGGGAGGGACGGTGATGTTTCAGGCTGCCGGACGGGACCCGAGGGCAAGTTGAGGGGAACAGAGGCCACGCGCTGGGGGTTGCGGGAGGGCAGCGGGCCGAGGGCCGGGCCACAGAGCACAGAGGGGAGGGGCCGCAGGACGGGCCGGCTGGGCACCACAGGGCTGCGCTGAGGCCACGCCGAGCCACGGAGAGAGAGTAGAGCCCCACCTAGGCCGAGACG